TATTCCACGCAAATAAACAAAAGGGAACATGAACCATTCTATGTACCACAGATAAAATTAAAACATTAACTACAAAATGTCCCACTTTTAGCAATATACAGATCCTTTATGAGTCTAAATCAATTAAAAAAAAAAAAAGCTTCTCATCAAAGAAAGCTCAGGACCTGATGGCTTCCCTAATGAATTTTACCAAACATTTTAGAACTAAAACTAGTTTTCTCTCTGAAGAAATTGAAAGGAGGGAAAATTTCCACTCATTTTACATAGCCAATATGATTTTTTTATACCCAAGCCAGATAAGGACACTAGATGAACAGACATGAAAATCCTCAATGAAATACCAGCAAACTGAATTCATAAGCTCATTAAAAGGATCCATTCACCATGATTAAATGGAATTCATTCGAGCAATGTAAAGAGACTTAAAAATATACAGATCTACAAATGTGATACACCCAACTAACAGAACAAAGAACAGAAACCATATAATGATCTCAACAGGTGCAGGAAATGCATTTGACATAATTTAACATTCATTTGTGATAAAATCCCTAAATAAATAAGGTATAGAAGGGACTGAGGCACAATAAAGGCTGTATTATGACAGACCAGTAACTAGCATCATACTCATTGCTGGTAAATGTTTACCAACCAGCTCTTCTGGAATCCTAGTTTGTAGAGGGGTTTTGTAAGTGTGTGTGTGTTTGTAATTTCTGTATCAATATTCCCCATATGGCCAATGAATGGCTCCAATATCTAATGTTTAACAATTACCTTACAATTTTTTTAAAAAAGTTCATGGTCAGCTCTACCAAACCACTTGTCTAGATGCTTATTTTTGAGTGAATGGAAGGCCTTGGTAGAAAAGGTAGGTATCTCTAAATTGCCTGGAACTTGCAATCCTCATGCTTCTGCCTCCAAGAGTACTGAGATTACAGACATGTGCCACCATGTTTAGCTGAGATAAATTCTTTTGGCTGCAGATAGCTGGCACTATTCTCCCTCTTACTTTCTAAGCTATCAGTTCTTCTACTTGGCAATTTCTTCACACATGCTCAGATCAGTACCCTGGAGCAAATTTGAGAGAAACATCTGTAGATCTTCAGTAGTCTCTCTCTCCTGCTTTCCTAGTCTGGGTATTTGGTGCTGTGAATTATAGCTGTCATGATCTTTACCAACTATCAACTCTTTCCTCAACTCAGAGAGCCCACTGCATACTGCTTGTGTTTATTCCCCTCTTCCATATGGCCTGACAATGCTAAGGCAATTAAGCGGGGACAATCACAGATACCACTGCAATTTGCCTTCTTAGGGATCATTGTTCTTTGTTGTCTGAAGTCTAATGTCATGAAAATCACTATTACAAGTATTCTATCTAGTTTTCATTATTTCAAACAGAGGGTAAATCTGATTTCTATGTCATTTTAGCAGAAAATAGAAACCTCCAATCATGTTGGAAAAGGTACCAGGATTAACACATTCAATTTACCTTCCATACTTAAGGAATAACGTAAATTAAGAGGAAATATCCGTGTGGGGCTGGAAAGATGGCTCAGCAGTTAAGAGCATTGGCTGCTCTTGCAGCGGACCCAGGTTCCATTCCCAGCACCCACATGGTGGCTAACAATCAATCACCTGTGGCTCCAGTTCCAGGGAATAAAATGCCCTCCCCTGACCTCTGCAGACAATGTGCAACATAGGTACACTTACATACATGCAGGCAATACACTTAGACACAAAAAATAAAATATTTTTTTTAAAAGAGGAGCTATTTGTAGTACCATAAAGGCTTTTTTAAAACCTCTATTTTTATTTTTGATGTGTTTGTGTGAGAAGGCTGGGGTCACCATCAGGTGTCTTCATTCACTCTTCATCTTATTTTTTGAGACAGGGTCTCTCATCAACTTAGCTATGCTGGCTGGCCAATGAGCTCCAGGGATACACATGTCCCCACCATCCATGAAGCTATGATTACAGATGCATGCCACTATGCTCAGTTTTTTACATGGATGTTGGGGATCTGAACTGAGGTCTTCATGTTTGGGTGACAGGCACTTAACTAAGCCATCTCCCCAGCTTCCCATATTTATAAGCATTATGTTGATGCTTCTAGATAAATACTATTTGGCTAGAAAATTTCAATAAATTATCTAGCAACCTCTTTCTGAAATACTTGTAAAGGTACATAAAAGCATGGACAAGTCTTAATGCCTGAAATTCAAGCTGATACCCAATTTACTGCTTCAAGTAAGAGTAAGTATCTGTAGGACTTACTTCAGAACACGAGCATACTGTGAATAGCATATGCAGCTGACACACAATCTTACCACTTGATGGAAAACACACATAGTGGCCTAAAAAAATAAGCTGAATAGTGAGTTCCAGGTTACATCGGACTACATAGCAAGACCCTGTCTCAAACAAGCAAGCAAGCCAATAACAGACTAACACAAATTCATCTTCAGCTGATCCTTTCTACAAAAACAGTCAAGTCATATCCACTAAGGAAAATGTTTATAGGATAGAGTATGAACATCCACAAAAGAATGAAAAGCACTAAAAATGGTAATGATATAGCTGAGTATAAGTTTTTATTATGAAAATCTCTTTAAAAGATAACTGTAAACAAAAATAATGTGCTCTAATTTTGTAACATTTACAGATACATAAAACAATAATATGAAAGTTAAGGAAGGTAAAAATATAAGTATAGTATTGTATAGGTCCTTATAAAGTGGTAAAAATCTGATGTAAAGACAGATTGTGCTAAGATTGTGGTGTATATTATAAATCTTAACCATACAAACAAAACAAAAAAGGAAGGAAGGAAGGAAGGAAGGAAGGAAGGAAGGAAGGAAGGGGAAGGGGCAGGCAACCACAAAGTACTTTTCCTGCCAAGGGGAGGAAAAGAACAAAGAGCAGAAGGGGCATACTTTAAAAAAAAATAGCAAGATGATATAGCTAAGTCAAATCTCTTTAAATACAAACTGTATATAACCCAATGAAAAGAAAAAGATTAAATTAGACACACACACACACGATCAACATAAATAGTCCTACACAAAAAAGCAAACTTTAAAGGCACAGGTTAGAAAAAGTAAAGGGCTAGTAAGAAGGCTCAGCTCAGGGGTGAAGGCACTTGCCGCCAAGACTGATAACCTGCATTTGATATCCAGGATCCTATATGGTGGAAGGAGAGAACTTAAGACAAAGTAAATTCAAACTCTTGTAAGCTTCATACTACAGAGATTTCCATGGCATGACCTCCTTACCTTCATGTTCATTTCCAATTATCATCTTGTACTTAGAGATTTATGAACATAGTTTATGCACCTGTGTATGTGGGTGTTCATCAGTCCATCTTTGTTCATGTTCTCTATTCCTAAACTGCCCCCTTTTCAAATTCAGGCATATATGTAGGTCTCTCATGTCCACTAATGGAAGGAAAAGTAAATCTAAACACACAAGTTCTATTAGGCTTAAAGTCTAAGAATCAATAAAATGTGTCTATCCAGAGTTTCTTTAATAGGGATTATGGGCCAAACAAATGCGCATCCAAGAATACTCAGTTTCTTTTAAAAAAAAGAACGCTTGGTTCCGAATCATTCTCAGTTCCGAAGTACCTGTTTTTGTTCATCCTTTCCAAAAGAGTTGCTGCCAAAGTTCTGCTTGATTTAGTATTCTCTGATGAGCAATCTGGAAGAAGTGACTCACTGAGCTAAGTCTAGGAGAAAAGGGTGAGGAAGCCATGGAGGTGACCTATCATAATCTGATGACACTAAAAGCAGGAGTGAAAACTGCAAGGTAAATCTTATTACACACTGTACCAATAAGCATGATGAATGAATTTCATGGCATGGGCTCCACACATTAACTTTTATGAACTTATCACAAGAACAGAAGCTGTCTTCTGAGTTCTCTAGGGAGACTTTAATCATTCTATCTATACTAATAAGAACTGTTTAACAAATGCTAAACCCGATTATATTATAGCTGTTAGCGCACCTGTTCTGCTATCTTCTAGTAGTACAGTGCTTCTCTATGTCCCAGAATTCTGCCTATTTTTCTTTCCACTGTTATTATCCACATTCTCTTTTAACTTATTTGACCTATATTCTAGACTATGACCATAATCAGGATTATTTTACGTGTTTTTCATCTCTGTATCTCTAACACTTACCAGTACCAACATTTCTTAGCAATCTTTAAGTCCTACCAAGTGACTGAATAAAATCTTCTTACTTGATTAAAACATTGAAGAAAAATCTACACTAATGGTTTAGCATCTAAAGAACTGTTTGTCATTGGCTTATAATAGGATAATAATGGATAAGGGTTTCAGCCAGAATGTATGTATGTTTGTTTTCATTAAGAAATTCTTCATCTGAAGAAAGTATCTAGCTGAATTAAAGTGCTTAGTGATACAGCTGATTTGCATTCTTGTCATCTTTTGACTAAAACATTTGAAAGTTGAACAAGCACATTTTCATAAAGAAAAGTAAAGTTGGGAAGAGGAAGGGGGTTAGCAGGAATGGGAAGGGGCACAAAGAGAAGGAAGCAATGGGTGAATATGCTTAAAGTACATTATATACATGTGTGAAAATGTCATAATTAAACCCCCTACTATATATAATATAGGCTAATAATTTTTTGAAAGGTGCTGAAAATGGACAGTTAGAATTAACTTGACAAGTGGGAATGGTGGCTCACACTTGTAATCTCAGCACTGGAGAGGCTGGAGCAGGAGTATCTCCACAGTTTGAGGTCAGCCTAGGCTACATAGTTTCAGGCCAGTCTGGGCTATCAAATGAGACCTCCATCTCTAAAACAAAAAAACAACCCAACAACAGAAAATTAACTTTATGGTCTTCATCTTTATAAGCATACACACAGTCATAGATCCTCAGATAAGTGAGATTTAAAACAAAGACAGCCACCTCACTGGTATAAAGAAATAAAGACACAAGGCACTTTAAAAAAAGTTTCTTAAAAAACTAAGATGCATTTTTTAAAAACCTAATAAATTTTTAATTAGAATGTTTTCCTTCTTTTTTAAACAGAACAAGTAACAGATTACAACAAACTTCAGAACTTCTCAAATATCTAATTATTATACACATTCCCATCTGTCTTGGAGGGAAGAATCTTGGTCGGCTTAATAGTTACAGGTAAAATAAGCTGCATAATAGTATATATTACAATAATAAATGTACAATGTTTACATGAAATATGTCTTAGAAGCAAGAAAAAGATGCATCTGCATCAAAAGGCGACCTGTTAAAATGTCACAGCTATTTTTTACATTCACTCTTGCAACAGGTTACAAGATGGGGTCACTAAGCTCAGATAAATCACTATGATGCACATAAAATACAGAAAGATTGGTTACTTTATATATTATATATTTATATTTTCACACGTTAGCATCTGAGACATAAACTGAGAATTTAAAATTTAATTTCTTCTGATAACAAATAATTTTTTATTCTTCATAAACATGGTGCCCACAAAAGCACACAGGTAAGGCACAATAGGGTTTTCTGTTACAGAATAGTGTGCATCATGTTTACTTAACCAGAAAACGTGCATTATCTGTGCAAGTTCATGCTGCAAACCTAATACATATACAACAAAAAGGAAACTGAACTTAAAACTCAAAACTGGTTAATCCCAGCTGTTTCCCATGCTCATTTGGACTGCCAATGATTTATCCTGCAGGTTAGTTTTCAAAAACCCAATTTTTAGGTTACAAGTAAACCTTGCTCAGCAATCATTTTGATCTGAAATAATAAACAGTAATAAAGTAATTTTACTGAAACAAATACTGAGGCACAAACCAATAGTCAGTTAGCATTTACTATATTGCAAATCTTTCATGACCCAACATTCCAAGTATAATTTGTCCAATACAAGTTGTTGCAACAACGTGCCCTGCTTTAAACTTGACATACAACAGAGGCTAACATATCATTAAATTATAAATAGACTGGGAAAATGACTTAATCCCAATAGTACTATGTCACAGTCCCAGTATTTATAATAAATACAGCTTTTCACGAAATATTCTTCCACTATCTGCCAATTGCTTCTTTATTGCTCACATAAATTTGAACATTAGAACTGGTGCCAGAATTTTCACACAAAATCATACTCAGGCATTTTTATAAAAATCTATAAAAGGTATTTTAAACTTGTAGTTAATACTTCCAGGTATTTGGCTGTTTGATCATCTATAATAGTACAGCCATAGGTATATATATGTGTGTGTATGTATATGTGTACATACATAAAATGTACACAAATACATATATACACAGATATACACATAATACAGGTATATACAGAAATTAGATTATGAATAAAATAGAAAGCTTATTTTACTGCTTATGCAGACATTCTCACAAAACAAGACTTTCACTATCATCAGCATTTATACATATATACAAAAGCCAGTTTAAGTACATGTACATCCACTTACACATATATGTAACCATTAAAATCAAGTAAATTTCCCCATATTCCAGATGTAGCAAATGAACCTCTCACAGGCAACAGAAACCTAAGGTTAAATTGGGAAATTAACCGTTTTACCACATCAGCCTATTAGCCTGGAACTATGGCAGGTGACTGTATACAAAAATTCACATTAGTTCACAAGAAATTATGGAAATACAAGAAGTCTTTCACCATGCTTTTGTGTGGTTATCTAAACACTTCGTGGTGCAAAAATATAACCACCGTATCTGAAAATGCTTAATAAAGTCAGTGTTCCTCATGCTGAACTTTAAATGCTTAACTGAGCTCCGGAAACTGAATGAACAATTCTACCTATTCAGCATTGCTGCCTTACTGCTAAATTCCTTGGAACCTTAAGATTTCTGGAACTTTCAAACAGAGCTATCTTCAGCAATAAAAATATCACATACAAAAAGCATTTAAAAAGGAAGATGGGAAGCCAAACAGGAATTTTCCTATTCAAATAACAGTCCTAGGAGAACAAAGTCTTTTCAGGAACTTCCTTGAGAATTGGCTAGGCCAGTCCGAAGGCGAAGATGAGACATAGAATTCATATGTTTATTTGATGGCTTCAAGGGAGTGTTGCAAGTAAGAGCTTGGGGAAAACGATGGTGGTATCTATCTAGTCGTAAATATTTTACCGTAACCAATTTCCCTGTTGTAAAATAAAAATAATATTTTAGATCTGTAAAAATGTTTAGTATTTGTAGAAAATTAACTGTGGTAAAGAATGAACACACAACATAAAATCACCTAAAAGTATTACTCAAAAAAAATCCTAACCTAATATTCTTCTATTTAAAATCTGGTATAATTTAAAACTCAGCTAATTATCTTTCCCAAATTTTTATAATACTCAAATTTCTTACCATCAAACCAAGAGCCATGCAATGCTTTAAAAGCCTTTCCAGCATACTCTGGAGATAGACATTTAACATATACACAACCCTGAAATATAAAAAGAAAAAGAAAAAAAGATCTTAGTTCAAGAGTAACAAATCCGAAAGGTGGTGTTCAATACTAGTAGCTCCTTTACCTCACGTGAGTTTTTGTCCACTGCAATATGAACAATGCCATCGTTATCACTGCATTTTTCTAAAATTGCTTCTTGAATAGCTAAATGCCATTGATCCCCAATTTCCCTGAAAATTAACAGAAATAAGAATCAACCACTATATTTCTATTCACTATTCACCAACTCTCATCATGGTAGAATACCTGAGTTCAATTATTTTCTGTTTCAACATATGCTTGCAAGTTGTTTCACTTTTCTTTCTAGATCAGTGTTAATTCATTAGAGTTGTAATAGCTGAATACTATTTTATTTTTAATGAAATCTTCAAGCTCTCAAACCTAGAAAATTTCTTAGGACAAGGACTGTGCAGAGTCATCTCACTATAACACAAGCTTTAAGGTTTCCGCAGAGCATACCTGCACATTTGTCTTACTTGTGAATCATGATGACAGGGCAAAAGGAAGAGCAACTTCAAATTGCAAATCTTAGCCTAATGTAATAGAATACTACAATGGACTTGATTTCCTAATCACTGAAGCATGCAGCAAGACTCCTTGTAGACGTATTACTGCACTGCTAATAACAAAATACTGTGTGAATACAAGCACCCATAGTCATGTACACATATACTGACAGTGCCTCCCTACATTTTCAATTTAGTGCCACTTATTTGGAATGTCACTATTAAAATTGGAAACAAGTGAATTATCAGATGACATCTATAGGCATTTTACATGTAATACAATTTCAACAATCAAGATCTGGAAAACCCTACCCCTTGCTGACAAATTATTGACAGTTGATGGCTTCTGGAGGAGGGAGAGTCCTCTTTAAGGCTGTAGACTCTGATAGGCTGACCATGCTCCAGTGGATGGCCCTCCAACTATGAGTATATGGGTGGCACAGAATGACTTGGTGAATTATTGGAAAATAAAAAAGAGGACATAAAGTTGGGAGAGGTGTGGGGGTAGGGGGCTCTAGGAAAAGTTAGGGGTAAAGATGATCAAAACACACTGCATGTATATATAAAGTTCTAAAAGTATTAATAAAAAATACTGTATTGAAAAAGATTTGAGGGGGCTGGAGAGATGGCTCAGCAGTTAAGAAAGGGCACTGGCTGCTCTATAGAGGACTTTGGTTTGGTTCCCAGCTCCTACATGGCAGCTAACAAGCATTGGTAACTCCAGTTCCAGAGGATCTGATGTCCTCCTCTGACCTCTGCAGGCTTTGCACGCATAGGTGCACTTACATATATGCATGCAATATACTCAAACACATAAAAAATAACAAATAATATAAAAAGATTTGAAAAAGGAAACTGGGATTTGATCTGTCATACCATTAGATAGCTAAGCAGAAGCCTTTACGAAAGCAACTCTTAAAAATATTACAGCTTACATATGAAATATGCTGGGGAGATTGTTCAGTGCTTGCTTCCTCTGCAAGCATAAGGACTAGAGTTTAAACCCTAAACACCTACTTAAAAACTGGACATAGATGCCAGTATTATTGAAGGGCAGAAACAAAAAGATTCATAGAGCTAACTGGCCACACAGCTAGTGAAAACGGTGACTTGAAGTTCAGTGAGATGTGTGTCTCAAGGCTTAAATGGGCAGAGTGGCAGAGAAAGATGCTCGTGCCCTGCTCTGACCTCTGCGTGCAAGTGAATGTATCACAAACACATACAAACAAAACCACATATAACTATCATGGATTCTAAGGTAGAAACTTCTGATTGTACAATTCTCTGGATATGCACTGTAGTAATAATGTAGTTCATCAAATATTACATTGATAAGTAAGTACAAAAACTAGAAAGAGGAAGGTATGCACTGTTATGAGTTTTCTTGTTTTTGAGCAGAGACTGGAAATTTTGGAAAATAGAGAGCCTAGTAAGACAAAAATGTTGAAAATTATATATAAAATAATTTCATATTTAGTAAAGTTTATTCTTTATTATTAACTTGCCTCAAGATTTGTGTACTATGGGGATTCACAATGAAAACAAAGGTGTATAAAAGTTTTAGAAATCTTTATATTCTGTCTTTAGGTTAAACCTTTGCTTGAAATTTAACAAGAGACAAGAGAAAAGCGTAACATTTCTATGATTAGAAATAAAAAAGGAGGGGCTGGAGAGATGGCTCAGTAGTTAAGGGCACTGGTTGCTTTTGCAGAGGACCCAGGTTTGGTTCCCAGCACCCACATGGCAGCTAACAACCATCCATAACTCCAGTTCCAGGGGATCTGATGCCTGCCTTCTTTGGACCTCTGCAGGTATTGCATGATACAGGCGCACTTACACACATGCAGGCAATATACTCATACACATCAAATAAAAATTACAAACAAAATATTAAAAAATAACAATACATTTTTTAAAAGAAACGGGAGATTTTCAATTAGACATACAGCATTAGGAAAAGAGATTTTCAATTAGACATATAGCATTAGGAAAACCAGGCAGTTTATATTCAAATATTCTAAATAAAAATTGCATATATGCCTGATCATAATACTTACATAACTGGATCAAACATATTTCGAATCTTTAAACACGGTGTCAAACTATTTGGCGGTGAATTTCTTCTATCTAAATGAAATGCTACAAAAAAATTAGTTTAATTACTTGCCATTGTTCCATTTTGTTGAAAGATAGTCATTTAGTTTATTAAAAAAATATTTATTAAGTGGCTTGAATGAGCCAGACACCTGTATTAGATGTTAAGGTGAATTAAGATAGTCATTAATATTGAATTAATAGTTCGGTAGGAGAAAAAAACATATATTAACCAGGGGATTACAGCTGTGGTAATTTTGAAAACACCAGAGGTTACAAAAATAACACTTCAACGTGTAAGGTAAAATTTTCCCCAAGGAAGTGAAATTTATTCTGGGAACCAAAGAAATTAGCAGGGTAAAGATAAGTGCACAGGTGCTTTCAAGAATAGATAAGGACTTGGAGGGATGTTTTAATGGTTAAATTAGAAGAAAATCCATGTTGCTCTTGCAGAGGACTCAGGTTTGGTTCCCAGAATCCACATGGTGGCTCACAACCACTTCTAGTCCCAGGGAATCCAATGCTCTCTTCTAGGCTGTTTGGGCACTGCAAACATGTGGTACATATACATCATGAAAGCAAAACAGTCATACACTGTCACATTTTAATACAACTTTTTTAAAGAAGAAATGATAGCTTGTATCCAGCCTTGTGACAAACAAGAAAATGGTATAGTCAAATAATTCAAAGTTAGTCAGTATTGCTAGAGTGGAACAGCAGAATGATAACCCTGGAGGAAATGTCGGATTATTCAGGATCATGTAGGCCATATTAGAGTATTCCAACAATGTCATAAGAGTAATAGAAAGCCCCACAAATGTTTGAACTAGAGGAATCATATGACAAGATGTATCTTTAAAATTAATGGGCCAAGAGGACCAAGATAAAGTGAACAGACATTAAGAAGACCATCTGGCACGACCTATTGCATGACTAAACAAGCAGAGGTAAGGGAGGGCTTAAGGATGACTTCCAGGTTTATGGAGGAACCAACTGAGGAACAGTACTATGGACCAGACTAGAGATAGGTGAAGAAATGGCTTTTGAAAGAGAAGATAGTGAGTTCACATTCATGTTCATTTGTAGTACCCATCTCCTAGGGGAAAAAAATGACTTTTCAAAAGGATGTAAGAATCTGAACTCTTGACACTGTCAATGAAGTGACAGCATAAGACTATTTAGTGAGAAAAGTAAATAAAAAGGTGGGTTTGAGAAACCAATACCTAGAGGCTCAGGAAAATAGGAGAACTTAAGAGGGGAAAAAAAAATTGAAGAAAAGATCAGAGGTAGGAGAGAAAAAAAAAAAACAGGTGCCAGTGTCAAAGCCCAAAGTGAAAAAAAAGCTTGAAGGAGGGTTCAGCTGCTAGATATGGCTGAGTCAGAGAACAAAGACTTCTGATTCCAGTTTTATAGGCCCTTCTACAGGCACCTTTCCAAGGAAATAATCTTTTGTTAGCGTTCAGAACAGCAAAGCATCATTTTTTCATGCTGTGATTAAAGTCTATTATCCAAAATTTTTTGAAAATGAAAATTAGAGAAAAAAGGTGTATGACTGCATTTTTCACATTATAATTCCAAAACATTTAACTTACCTTTTCTATGAATACTATGTTTAACAAATATTAATAATCCTGACTTTGTAGAAAAGATAATTTGCCATTCATATTTTATTTATATACTGTTTTCTACTTTCCAGTATAGTAGAAGCTTAGGCACACAAGGCAGCTAATCTTCAAAGCTCCCTATGTACAAATACCTCTTCTAAATTGCATACACTATGAAGAAAACTACAGAAAGATAGCTACAGAAGATAGTTGGAAGGGGAGATATACAGATAAAGGAGTCTTAGAGAGAGAGGCAAGCAAAAATGGGGATAAAAAAAAGAATAAAGAAGTTAGAGTTCCACATACATATTTAATGCATGTTAACATTTATGTTTATGTATAAAATAACATTAATTCTACATGTCTTATATGCACAGAAAAATGAGATGAAAAGAATGCAGTTAAAGTCATAACACTAAGTTGCTTTGTTAAATGAAAAGTCAAGATCAAAGAATTATTTGTCCTCATTGTCATGCTGTCATTTGCTTTTACAAAGATGCTGACAGCAATTTCTTCTATGGAGTGGAGCAGAAAAGGGAAGTTTTGCCTTCCCTTACCGTTTAATTATAGTGTTTCACTTAAACACATGATATATTTTGAAAAAATAGAAGAAAATCCTTGTTTGTGTTTAAAAATACATACCTTGACCTTGCCATACTTTAGAAGGTATTACTAATATCTTATCACAGGATGCAGAAGGCTGGATCCACCGCCAGACTAGAAAATCTGTACCACCTATTCTTCGAGTTTCTGTGCGCACTCTAGATTCATTAGCAGCAAGGAAGTCAACAGCTCTATCCCAGACTTTCTTCATTTTTTTCCTATCATGAACAAAATAACAGGTTTACTATAATCTTGGCTTGTCATCTTTTGGAAATGCTAGTAACTGAAGCAATGACTACTGTTAACTGGCTATCTTATCACTCCTTACAGTTTATATAAAAGACAACTTAGATGTCTGTGCTTCACCTCAGATTTACTGAATTCCAGTCTCCAGAGAGAAGCCATGAGCATGTGCTTGCTCTTGTTAACTCAGCATCCACTGGTGATAAGGATGTGCTGCTAGGCTGAAGAACACTCCTTCAGGGCATGACATTAGTTTTCATTTTCAAAAAATTAGGTTTTAGTATGCAATTTACAAATCTCCAGTAATAACAAAATAAGCCTTTAAAATATTAGTAAAAATACAACTAGCTATTCTGTTTCTTAGTAAGATGACACTAAAGGAAAAAAAAAAAACAGGAAGACTGACAAAAAGGAATAAACAAAAATATACAGAAATGAGAATGACTTATACACCTAGTTCTCTACTATGCCACTGAAAACCAGGAGGAGAATAGAAGAAAATTTAGAAAGTAGAGGGTATTTTAAAATGTCTATACATACAGCAAGGCTAGTTAAGACTCACAACTCTTAATAAAAACTTCAGGCTACAACAGACAACCTACAGGCTGATTTATTTCAACTGAAAGGCTTTACACACCTGTCATGAGGCTGTACTAAAGAGTCTCGCACATGTGGAATAGGCATGTAAGGTTGCAAATCTTTATTTTCCTGGCAAGCTTCATTATGACTTCGTAAAACATCTGAAAATAAATCAACTACTTTACAAGTAAATCAATTGCTGGGAATTATGTTGTAGTTTTATCATATAACTTTTCTAGAAAGCTTAGAATTTTGTAAATACCATACCTATAATCTTTACCACCATATCGTACATCTGCCTCGTTTCCTCCTCTTCTTTAGTCCAGCGGTATTTCATATAACGCAGAACAACACAAACCATCACTACACCTGCAATATTCACATATCTGGTATTTTAAAACTGTGGTCAGTAACAGTAAGTAACACCATAGCAAGTTTCTACAATGCCTATCTCAACCTGCCCTAACAGAATAATGTAATACAGAGGTTTGAATTAAAACTACATAGAAAAACTTATTACTAAGCACTTTCCAAAGTTTCACCTCTCTCCCCCCAAAATTATTTCATTACACTAATAAATGAGCACTTGAAGCCTATTATTAAAAATAAAAAATATAGCTGTTTCACACTTTTCTCCTCTGTGGCACTAGACTACTAGAAGTTGTAAGTTCTGGTAAACACAATAAATATTAAAATAAGTTGAATTATGTTTAAATGACTACCAAAGAAAAATGAAAAAAAACTATCTCCTTATTTCCTAGTATTCAAATATCAGTCTAACTAAAAATTTTAATTCTCATAAATGACACTATTTAAAAGCAAGCTAACCTTTCCTTTTCCTATTCTATTTCCTAAAGTAGATTCACATACATATGTTACTAGACATACTTGCTTTTCTGTGACAGTTTATTTCTACTTCTCCTCATATTACTATTTTCTAAGCCCTTAGTCCATCATAGGGAGGAAAAATCCCTTAGCTTTACTGTCATAGTTTAAAGATGAAATGCCTCCCTCATTTAAAGCCTAACCCCCCCAGCCAATAGTACTAGTTTGGAAGGCTCTGGAATTTTAGGAAGTGGGCCCTAGCTGGAGGAAACCATCACTGGTGGCAGGTAGGTGGGGATACCTGTTGTTTCTGGCTATTTCTTTCCTCCTCCCTACTCTTGGCAGCCAGGATTCTGCTCTGCTATACCTTTCTTGCCAGGATGGACTGACAACTCTGAACCAAAATAAATCTTTCTTGCTTCAAGTTTTTGGTCACAGCTACACAAAACTAATATTTATTTACTTTTAAGATTTCTAAATTTTATGTGCTTGAGTGTAAGGGCACCCATGTTATACAATGCCTGCAGAGGTCAGAAGAGGGCATTGGATCCCCTGGAACCGGAGTTACAAATGGCTGTTAGCCACCAGGTGGGTGCTGGGAACTGAACCTGGGTCCTTTGCAAGAGCAGCAGATGCTCTTAACTGCTGAGCCATCTCTCTAGCCCCCTAATACATTTATTTAGTGAAGACTTTTGAATGTGAGTTATGACATTCATTACAGAAGTGAATTCTCAGCTCAGACATTCAGTAAATACAGGTAATGCAATACCTTTCTTACCCTAACAACTTACCTAAGCATAACAACAATAACCTATGTGTTACAGTAATGAAAGCACGACGAAAACGACACCAGAAAGACATCTGAGGTCTTGTGGACTGTAAAAACTGTACATCGGTTATATTTGTCAGTTCTTCCTCAGGCCCATAACCGACACACCTATTTAAAAATAGTTAAAGATTAAACTTCAAAACCAACTTTTAGAATACAAAACAATCAATGTTGGTATCAAATCCTGTACCTTATTCCAACATCTTTCCCATTTTTTAAAATCCACAGCAACGAAGTGTTAAATATATCTTCATACTCAGGACCTAAATCCTAACAAGAAAAACAGAACCATTCTCAATAATCCTGTATAGCTGTTGTATACATAGAATGCTCTATTATGCTTTTATTTTAACCAAATAAACAACAGAATGAAAACATATGATCCATTACAGAAAAATGAAAAAATAAATGCAAGCCACTATCCTCTCATGATTCCAGTAAAATAAATAAATAAATAAATAAATAAATCACTGTTAATACTTTGCTGTACTTTTTAAATTATTTTTATTTTATGTGTATGTATGTATTGCCTGCATGTAGGTTAAGTGCACCTGTATCGTGCAATGCCCACAGAGGACAGAAGAGGCTGTTGGATCCCCTGGAACTGGAGTTACGAGCAGTTGTTAGCTGTCATGTGGGTGCTGGGATTCGAACCTGGGTCTTCTGTAAGAAAGCCAGTGTTCTTAACCACCAAGCCATCTCTCTAGGCCCTGTACTTTCTTTATTATATTTTTAGATTATGTACAAACTTAGAAGATATTCATTAATAGTTTGTTTTCAAATTATCATTATAAGAATAAATTAATCACTTTTAAAAGACAGAACAATATTTTCAAATGATCAAATGGTAAATTATTGAGACTTGGATGTTATGTTTTTAAGTTCAAACATCCTGACTGTAACTAATCAATGATAAATTCAAACTGTCAAGTAAAAAACTAGAAGCTAGGAAAAATTCCAATTTGTCACTGTGATCATACGTTCATCGTACTTAAAGATTTTTTTAATAGTGTGGTGTGATACTAACAAATGTGACTTTGATATAGCATAACAAACAGTAACAACAGTTAACTCAGTAAACCAGTATTTTTCAAATAACCTTTAAAAAAACACTTAAATTTTTATTTTATTTATTATTTTTATTTTATGTGTATGAGTGTACTGCCTGTATGTATGAAATGCACTCTTGTCATGTAATGCCCGCAAAGGTCAAAAGAGGGCATCAGATTTCCCTGGAACTGAAGTTACAGACAGTTGTTAGCTGCCATGTGGGTGCTGGAGGTCAAACCCAGGTCCTCTGCAGAACAGTCAGTGCTCTTAACTGCTGAGCCATCTCTCCAGTCCCTTAAAAAATTTTAAAGGCAGGGCCTCACTATGTAACCCTGACTTGCCTGGAACTCACTATGTAGACTAGGCTGGCCTTGATCTCAGAGATCTGTCTACCTCTGCCTCTCAAGCGCTAGGATTATAGGCACGCTGCCACCATGCACTGTTTCAAATAACCAGTTCTTCTTTAAATATTTTACTTATTATTTTTATTTTATGCAATTAAGTGCATTGCCTGCATGTATATAAGTGCAATGCCTGTGGAGGTCAGAAAAGGGCGTCAGATTCCCCTGGAACTGGCGTTATGGACAGTTGTTCGTCACCATGTGGGTGCTGGGAATTGAACTTGGGTCCTCTGCAAGAGCAGCCATCATTCTTAACCACCAAGCCATCTCTCCATCCCTGAAATAACCAATTCTTAAAGAACTCATACAATCATACCTAGGTAAAAGATCTATTCAAAGTCCAAGATAAACCAAAGACAAAATACAAAAAGTTCAGACATCCTGCTAAATTCTAACTGCAACTACCATGTTTTTAAAAAATTACCACATGGGACTAGGGAGATGGCACAGATGGTAAAGGGCTTGAAGTACAAGCATGAGGACCTGAGCTTGGATACCTACACTCATGCCAAAGCAATATATGACAGCAAATACTTCCACCCCAGAACTGGAAGGTGGAGACAAGTGGATCCTGGAAGCATGCTGGCCAGTTAGTCTAGCCAAACATCCAGCTCCAGATTCAATGGCAGACACTCTCAAAATAAAAGGTGAACAATGATAGAGGAGGATACAGAAAATCCTCTGGCTTCCACATATACATATAGGCAAGAAATTGGTACAACTGCACATGCACACATTCTTGCTCACATACAAATAAGTGAATAAACAAAAACTACTACTTAGAGAAGTTTGATGTGCTATCAAAGACGACTATTTACAATTATCTGAAAAAGTAATTATAGTATTTTCTGTTTGACTACATATACATATGAAGCTGGTTTTCTTGATGTGCTTCAACTAAAACATCATAACACACAGGACATAGAAGAGAATTTAGTTCCTGCTTATTGAGCTAGACATTAATGAAATTTGCAGAGTAGAGAACAATACCACTCTTCTCAATAAGCTGTACTTTGGAAAGCAATTCTTTTTCATGAAAATGTATTATTTGGGGGCAGGAGAGATGACTCAGTGGGTAAAAGTGCTAGGTGCATACGCTTGACAACCTGAGTATGATCTCTAGAACCCATATAAAAAGCACACATTTATAATCCCAACACTCCTATTTCAACATAGGAGGCAGGGATAACAGAATCACTTGGAGACAAATCGGCCAGTTAGCCCGATATACCAGCTAGCCCAGACAACACAAAGTTGTCCCTGACCTTTACATTCATGTCGAGTGAGCATCTGCACTTACACACTGTGCTGGATAGCTTTAGTGTCAACCTGACACATCTGGGTTGAGGGAGCCTCAATTGGAGAATTGCCTCCATAGAACTGGCCTGTGGCCACGTCTGTGGGGCATCTTCTTGATTACTGAGTGATGTGGGAGGGCCCAGCCCACTGTGGGGTGGTGCCATCCCTGGGCAGGGGGGCCTGTGTTGCATAAGAAAGCAGGGTGAGCAGGGGCCAGGGGAGCAAGCCAGTAAGAGAATTCCTCCACGGCCTGTGCTCCAGCTCCTGCCTCCAGGTTTCTGCCCTGAGTTCCTATCCTGGGCTCCCTGATGAACTGTGACCTGGGAGATGTAAGCCAAATAAACCCTTTCCTCCCCAAGTTGGTATTGGTCAGAGTATTTTGTCACAGCAATGAAGAAACAAGCTATAAGACACACACAATTTTTTTTTTATTTGGCTTTTTTTGAGACAGGGTCTCCAGGTAGCTCCAGCTGTCCTGGAACTCACTAGGCAGACCAGGCTGGCCTTGAACTCACAGATATCCATGTGCCTCTGCCTCCCAAGTGCTGGGATTAAAGGTGTGCACCACCATGCCCAGCTACACACATTAATTTTTGTAAAAATTTAAGTATTTACCATGTAATCACTTCATTACTAGCCTAAATGAGTTAAATATTTTTCCGTTTTAATTACTGATGTAATTAAAATAAGTATATACTATGTATTTACCACATAAGAATAAATGTATAGAATATATATTTATAGCCAAGCATGATGGCATATGTCTGCATTCAAGATACTGAGGAACGAGAACCCTGAGTTCTAGATCAGCCTGGGCTACATATGGAGTTCTCAACCAGCATCCTATATAGCAAGACCTTTTCTCAAAAAACAACAGAGGCTGGAGAGATGGCTCAGTGGTTAAGAGCACTGGCTGTTCCTGCAGAGGACCTGGGTTCAGTTCCCAGCCAGCACCGACATGGTGGCTAGCAGCCATCTGTAACTCCAGTCCTAGGGGAATCCAATGTTCTCTCCTGCCCTCGGTGGGCAATGTATAACAGATGGACTTACGTGCACCCAAAATACTCATATACATAAAATATAAATACCACTACCAACAAAAGCCCCAAGAACATATATACATATATAAACACACACATATGCATATCTCCCATAAATAAAAAATTAAGGTTCTAAGTTAATTATAATAAAAAAGTTTCACAATTGCTAGGTATGGCGTTATCTCTTTTAAAACAGGGTTTGTGTATGTGTTGCATGTGTAGTGTGCTGTGTGTACTTATTAGTATAGGTGTGTGCATATGTACGTAGAGGGCAGAGGTTAACAGCAGGTGTCTTTCCTCAGTCACTATTTTTATTTTTGGAGAGCAGGTCTCTCAGTGAGTTCTGCTACAATGACTAACCATAACCTATGATCTTGCAAGATGACACTGTCTCCACCCCACCTCTAGCCCCCAGTGCTGGGGCTACAGGCATACATCACTATGCCCAGTTTTTTAACATGGGTTCTAGAAATTCAAACTCAGATTCTCATGCTTGTGTGGGAGACACTTTACCTACTGAGCCATTTCTCAAACTGGGTATATGCTTTAAACCAAAATGTTTTAACAGTGGCATGCATCCTATCATATATTCTATTCTACTTGCCTTTATCCTGGACCAGAGACTGTGTCAATGTCAGTACACATAGGAAAACCCTATTTTTTTCAGCCAATTGGTATTAAATTCATATTCTACACTTTAATCAATTCTTTATAAATGAATGTTTGAAGAATATTCAAAATTTTTATTTATGTTTCTTTTTGTGGTGTTGGGGATCAAAAACCAGGGCCTATAACGCCAGGCAAAGCCTCTATCACTATGTCAACTCTAACCCCTAATCAATTTTTTAATATAATTCAAAAAACATTGTTTTAAAAAACCTCTCTTTTGTCATATAACATATATTTAACAAGGGCCCAGGTACTGTTGTATCAACTACAAGTACAGCACTAAATAAACAATCTGTTTCCTTGCCAGTAGAGCTGATGCCTGTTTAAAAATATGATTTTAAGCACTTTCTGAAGTGAAAAGGATACATTTCTAGTTTTAGAAACCTTAAAAGTAACTTCAGGGGCTGGAGAGATGGCTCAGCAGTTAAGAGCACTGACTGCTCTTGCAGAGGACCCGGGTTTGTTTCCCAGCACCCACATGGTGGCTCCGAACCATCCTTATCTCCAGTTCCAGGGGAATCCGAAGCCCTCTTCTCTTCTGACCTCCGTGGCATTGTACAACACGGGTGCACTCATATACATGCAAGTGATGCACTCATACACATAAAATAAAAATAATAAATAAAATATTTTTAAAAAGTAACTTCAGAAGTGGCTGCTTCATTTATTATAGTGGAAAATTCTTCAATAGCACTGGAAACTATAAAGGTTTTCATCAGATCATATTTTTACTTCCTAATGTGAAACTGGAAAACTTGTTTTTAATATATCAAATTTGCAATCATGAGCTAACTTTGGTATATATTATGGC